ACGCACCGAGGTGCACCGATGGGGGCATCCAGACAAAGCCGAAGAGCCAGCGGAAGCTCCAGCGCGGGTCGAGAGACAGCAGCAGGCGTTGAGAGCCCTCGTCGACGGGGCCAGGACGAGGATGAATCCGTTCTGGAGCGTTCTGGAACACTCTCAGCGTTCCGGAACGCTCCGAGAAGACCGCGGCGACCGAGACATTTTCCAGAGCCTGCGGATCTCAGAGGTTCTCGATTTATCCTAACCCGAATTTATCCTGTTCCTGGCTTGCGCCCGAGTCCGCCCCCCGTCGGCCCGAAGCCCCGGCGAGGGCACCTTTGGCGGCCCGCTGATCATCCCGGAGTCGGAGGACGGGCGCGGCAGCGGCCTCGGCCTCCGCCCAAGCCTCTCGGCTCCAGGCCTTCAGTGGGGGGCACCCCCTCCTCGTCCTCGTCCTCCTCCTTGTCCTCGCCCTCCTCCATCCCTCCCTCCCTTCCCTCCCTCCTCCCTTCCTCCCACCCTCCCTCTCTCCTCCCTCCCGCTTCCCTCCCTGCTCCCTCCCTCCCTGCCTCCCTCCATCCTCGTTGTCCTCCTCCTCCTCCTCCTCCCTACCTCCCTACCTCCCTACCTCCCTACCTCCCTACCTCCCTACCTCCCTCCCTCCCTCCCTCCCTCCCTGCTCCCCTCCCTCCCTGCTCCCTCCCTACCCTCTCCGCGCTGGCAAGCACGCAAGACCACTGAGCGACGCAGCCCGACGGCAGACACGAGGCACGCTGACATCCGCGCCAAGGCACGGGACGATCAATGACGAGCACTCCGACCAGGACAGGACAGGACCACCCTCTCCTCCTCCACCCTCCACCTCTCGTCATCGTCGTCATCATCATCATCAGCAGCATCATCATCAGCATCATGATGACCATCATCATCGTCATCTTCATCAGCATCATCATCATCATCCTCATCGTTATCATGAACATCATCAACATCAGCATCATCATCAACATCAGCATCATCATCAACAGCATCAGCATCATCATCAGCAGTATCAGCATCACCATCAGCACCATCATCAGTATTCGCATCATCCTCATCATCCTCCTTATCATCATCATCAGCATCATCCTCATCATCACCATCATCATCATCATCCTCCTCCTCATCCTCATCAGCATCATCAGCATCATCATCATCATCATAATCATCATCATCATCATCATCCACCCTCCACCTCTCGCCACTTTTGGTATGTCCCGCGCAGTCGAGCACGCGGCACATCCCAGAGGCCACGGCCTCCTCGGCCTGGCCTCGGCCAGGCAGGTCTGGACGCCTGCCCGCACTCGCGGTCGCTCGATGGCTCCCTCGCTGCTCCTTCTCCAGCGAAGGGATCGAGAAGGGAGGAGGGGGAGTGACTGGGAGGAGGAGGAGGAGGAGGAGGAGGAGGAGGAGGAGGAGGAGGAGGAGGAGGAGGAGGAGGAGGAGGAGGAGGAGGAGGAAGGTTGGCTGCAAGGAGAACCTACCGTCCGCCACGAGTCAGTCAGTCAGGAGGAGGACGAACATGTAGATAGGAGACTGAGGAGGAGTAGGGGGAGCAGGAGATTGAGCAGGAGGAGGAGGAGGAGGAGGAGCGTGAGGAGGAGGAGGAGGAGAACGACGACGACGATGATGCTGATGCTGATGACGATGATGGTGGTGATGATGTTGTTGATGATGGTGATGATGGTGATGCTGATGCTGATGCTGCTGATGATGATGATGATGATACTGATGCTGCTGACGACGACGATGGTGGTGATGATGAAGATGATGATGATGATGATGATGATGATGATGATGATGATGATGATGATGATGATGATAATGATGATCCACATCTGACGAGGATGATGCTGCTGCTGATGATGAAGATGATGCTGCTCCTTCTGCTGATGATGATGACGAAGATGATGATGATTATGATACTGATTATGATGATGCTGCTGACGGTGATCATGATGATGGCGACGATGATGATGACGATGATGATGATGATGATGATGATGATGCTGCTGCTGATGATGATAATCGTGACGATGGTGGTGATGATGCTGCTGCTGATGATGATGTTGATGATGGTGATGATGCTGCTGATGACGACGATGATGATGCTGATGATGCTGATGATGCTGCTGCTGATGATGATGATGATGCTGCTGATGATGATGATGATGATGCTGATGCTGATGATGATGATAATGATGATGATGATGATGATGATGATGATGATGATGATGATGATGATGATGATGATGATGATGATGATGATGATGATGATGATGATGATGATGATGATGATGATGATGATGATGATGATGATGCTGCTGCTGCTGCTGCTGCTGATGATGATGATGATGATGATGATGATGATGATGATGATGATGATGTGCTGCCGCCGCCGCCTTGCCAATGTTCGAGTTTGTTAACACTTCGAGCGTTTCTGCAGTTGCCTCCTCTTAGCTGTCGTCCAGTACAGAGCCTCTCGTAGAAAACGGTTAGCTTTAAACCATCACGAGAGTAAGTGGTTCCCTGCTTCTCTCGGGCCCTGTAGAGAACTCGTAGGGCCCAGTCCATGCTCAGGTTCATCCATGTACCTGTTGAATGCGTCCGTCTGGCTCAAGACGCATCATAGTTGAGAGCAAACATATCCCCTGCTCTACCGTTGCACGCCCGTGTCCGGAGGGGAGGGCCAGCTATTCCTCCTCCTCCTCCATCCTCCCTCAGAGGCGGCTTCATCTGGAAACAAGACCTCGCGCCCCTACCTCGCACCCCCCTGGTGCCCCTCCTTGCAGCGGGGCCAGCGCGGCCGCCCGACCGTGCGGCCCGGGGCAAGGACACCATGAGGTGCACCGACGACTTGACGGACAACCGGGATCGGGTCGCGGCGTCCCGGGGGAGGAGGTTCAGCATCGTCTCGCCGATCCCGGTACCCTTTGGGCCATGGTATGTCAGCCCCACCGGGTCAATCGCCCAGGTGGGGATAGGCCCAGTTGGGGATAGGCCCAGGTGGGGATAGGGCCTATGGCGGGATAGGCCGCCATATCTTCACCTGAGGGGGTAAGTCGGCCCGTGGAGCCAAGGCCATGCCTGTGGGGACAGGGGCCGATTCAAAGATACGTACGGCAGCGGCCGAACGCCAGTCTGGGCGTGTCTAGCTCGCGTCTGCCTTGGAGTTCGAGACGCTGTCGCCTGCCCCCGAGACTGAAACATCCGATGTTTTCATAAGGATGTCCTCGGGGAGGTCGGCCTTCACCGGGCCAACAGCCCCTGGCGCGCAGGCTCGGTGACCAAGGACCAGGCCCCCTGGCAACCCGTGCCGAAGAGGGGAGGAGAGAGGATGAGAGGATATGCGAGGTTCTAGAAGGAGGAGGTTGGAGGGGGAGGGGGAGGGGGAGGAGGAGGAGGAGGAGGAGAAGGAGGAGGAAGTGGATGGAAAGGAGCTCGCGGCTTCTCTGACACTTCTTGGCCTTCTTTCTGGCCTTCGGAGGCCTTCGGAGTCCTGTGGGGCAGGGGAAGGAAGAGGACGAGGACGAGGAGGAGGAGGGGCGGAGCGGAGCGAAGCGGCGCCGATGTCGCCCAGAGGGCGTCCCTTGTAGGCAGCGGCGGGTGCGACAGGGCGCCTCAGGACGAGGAGGAGGAGGACGACGAAGAATAATTACGACGACCGTTACTACTACTACTACTACTACTACTACTACTACTACTACTACTACTACTACTACTACTACTACTACTACTACTACTATTACTACTCCTACTACTACGACTACTACTACTACTTTTACTACTACTACTACTACTACCACGACTACTACGACTACCTACTACTATTACTGCTGCTACTACGACTACTACGACTACTGAGATTCATGCTATTCGCATTGTATAAATAGTGTTAGTAAGATCATGCATAGTAGTGCCAGTATCAAGCAATCGAAGTATGACTTGCCTTCGAACTACTAACAGTAGCAGTATTAGCAGGAACAATACTGCTACTGTTAGTAGTTCGAAGGCAAGTCATACTTCGATAGCTTGATACTGGCACTACTATGCATGATCTTACTAACACTATTTATACAATGCGAATAGCATGAATATCAGTAGTCGTAGTAGTCGTAGTAGCAGCAGTAATAGTAGTAGGTAGTCGTAGTAGTCGTAGTAGCAGTAGTAGTAGTAGTAGTCGTAGTAGTAGTAGTAGTAGCAGTAGTAGTAGTAGTAGTAGTAGTAGTAGTAGTAGTCGTAGTCGTAGTAGTAGTAGTAGTAGTAGTAGTAGGTAGTTTAGTAGTGTAGTAGTAAGTGTAGTAGTGCTAGTAGTAGTAGTAGTTAGTAGTAGTAGTAGCAGGAAGTGGTCATGAATCACATTCAGTAGTAGTAGTAGTAGTAGTAGTAGTAGTAGTAGTAGTAGTATCAGTCGTAGACATACTAGTAGTAGAAGAAAACGTCGTAGTCGTCGCGTCATGATTGTTTTTATTATTATCATTATTATTATTATTATTTGTAGTAGTAGTAGTAGTAGCAGTAGTAGTAGTAGTCGTAATCGTAGTCGTAGTCGTAGTCGTAGTCGTAGTCGTAGTAAAAGTAGTAGTAGTAGTAGTAGTAGTAGTAGTAGTAGTAGTAGTAGTAGTAGTAGTAGTAGTCGTAGTCGTAGTCGTAGTCGTTTATTCGTAGTAGTAGTAGTAGTAGTAGTAGTAGAGTAGTTAGTAGTAGTCGTAGTAGGAGTAGTAGTAGTCAGTAGTAGTAGTAGTTTAGTAGTAGTAGTAGTACTAGTAGTAATAATCAACTAGTAGTAGTAGTTGTAGTAGTAGTCGTAGGTAGTATTAGTAGTAGTAGTAATCGTAGTAGTAGTACTAGTATTTGTAGTTAGTATTCGTAGTCGGAGTAGTAGTATAGTAGAGTCGTAGTAGTAGTAGTAGTAGTAGTAGTAGTAGTAGTAGTATAGAGCTACAGTCAAGTCAAGTAAGTTAGTCAGTAGTAGTAGTAATAGTAGT